GAAAATTTCTGATTGGTAAAACCATCCTTGTCATCCAGGTGATCTTACTAAGACATCTTGAAACCCTAGATAACCCATTTTAAATTGGATTTTATTGCCCATTGTGTTTGGTAAATTCTCCCAATAGAATAGGATATTTATAGACTTCAGCAGTCCTTGCACAAATCTTGTTTTAGATTTTTTTTATAAAAAGGAAGGAAACCCCAGGCCCTCAGAGGAAGCCCCTCCCCTTCCCCTCCCCACCTGCTCCTGGGGCTGCAGCCCCTGCTGGGTGGGTCCTGAGCGCCCCCTGCAGCCCAGCTTGCGCCCTGCAGGGAGGGTCCTGTCTGGGCTCCCAGGGCGTGGCCTCTAGCGTCTCTCGTCCAGTGTTAAATGTCTGTGTCCTGACCTCACAATGCTCCCTCAGGGACACTACACTCTTTTGACATCATATATTGAAATAATGAGTTTATGTTACTAAAACCCAATGACTGTTCAGGGGAGGCCTCAATCAAGGGCTTTATGAAACCCACTGGAGCCCTTTCCATGAAGCTTCTGGATCCACGGACACGGTCCCGAGCCCAGAATCTCTGGGGGTTTGTGGGGGGCCCTTTATATCCTTTAGGTTCATATGGTTGAAGGTGACACCTGGGAATACCTGCAATGAATCACAGCCCTCTCTATCTCTGCTAGTCAATAAATTAGATACACAGAGTGTACAATTTTAGCATTAATGGTGCTCTAAATTGCCCTGGTCCCCTCTACCTAGTTCATGGGCAGTCCTTCACTCTGACCCCAAGCCTGGGTGTGTGTCTTCTCTTGTAAATGGAACCCCAGGGAATGTGACACATGCACAGACTTGGGAAGAACCTGCACCCTGACTCTGCTTTTTCTCACAGCCCATGGGACCCGTGCAGGTGACCCATGAGATGGGCTAATCTTGTCCCACAGGTTGTCAGAATCGAGGCTCAATCACACTATTGCCCACTCACGGCACCTGCAGTGGGGTCCCTTGGAGAACCCATGTCTGTGGGAGGGGAGGCACCTGAGGAGTTAGGGGAGGAGGAGGAGGCAACACCATATCAGCTGATTCAGGTGAGGCTGCTCGTGTGTGTGGGAGACATTACGTATTCTCATGATTAACACCTTTGAGGTAGTCGTCCTGGGTCTGGGCTGTGACCTCCCCAAGGACTCTCCGTGGTCAGCTCACCTCCCTGTGACCCCTCCCTTCCCGCCTGCAGCACCCACAGTCTATTCCTGACTCTCTTAACCCTGGTAACTGTGCCCCCTCCCAGGTCTGTCACAGAAAGAATGTCACCAACGCTCAGAATAGGGTTCTGGAAAAGTCCTTCCCCAGGAGGGTCAGCCTGAGGGAAGGTCTGGTGGATTTCTCAGTGGTTAGTCCTCCCCTCCCCCTGTCAGGGACACGAGGGGACCCACATGCATCCTCCCTTGAGAACCTGGATGTGTCTGGAGGGAAAGCCCCCAGAAGTGTGGGGTGTGCCCCGGGACCCCTCCCCCACAGGAGCCCACCCACGAGCTCCATCCATTCATAACACTCACCCTGGAAGTGCTCCTACCAGTTTGAACTTCCAGCAGCCTCTGGTCCAGGTGAGCAGAATCACCTGGGATTCTGGATGTGCCTGTTTCCAATTATTACAGTGGAGGCTCTTGTAATTTTCTTCTGGTGATGGGTTCACGAGACATAATTGATCTTCATTTTTCTAGGTTCTCTTCTAATAATGAAAGTGATGATTTCCAAGATCTTTAATGTTGGTGCAGAAAGCAGGTGGACCTCCACAGGTCATCTTTGACCTGTTACTAGAGGTGGGAATCTCGCCTCACAAAGTGTAAGTGGCACCTGGACAGACAGAACTGACCATGACATCACTCAAAGCCTGAGCAATTTCATGTCCCTCCCAGGAAGCTGGAACATGAAAAGTCCAACAGGCAAGGAACCTATTACCTCAGGTGATGTCACATTTGGAAGAGCACCCGTGCCCCTGGCTGGACCCAGGAGGTGCACCTCCTGCCTCTCACCAGGGACAGGAGCTCACATGCCTTAAACACACGCCAGGCAGTGAGAGCGCTGTTTCCCAGGTGGGTGCAGAGCAGGGTGGAGACACGGAGGTACCTTTGGCTTTCAGGATGCACTGGACACGAGGCCCCAAATCCCATCTGAGGCTCTGATCTAAGTGTGAAGACGTCTCATTAGCTCTGCCTTCTGAAACCTGTGGGTGTGTCAGGATGATCAGGATTATGACTTATTTCCCTCTCGTCATGGAACCTGCTTCACAGATATTTATAACTGAGGAGCTTGATATGGAGTGAATTCTATTCCCCCACCATTGACATGTTGAAGCCCTAAGACCTAGTGGCCTGCACAGGAAGAAAGGGCTTGTAGGAAGTAATTATGCTTCCATGAGGTCATGAGGTTGGGGTCCTCATCCATGAGAATCAGTGGCCTTATAAGAAAATGGAGAGAAATAGATATGTCACTCCCTAGACCCCAGAATGTGAGAAACTAAATTTCTGTTGTTAAAGCAACTTAGTCACTGGTTTTGCGATGGCAGCTTGAGCAGATGAGATTGAGTTTTGGTCCTGAGAGTGGGGTGCTGCTGTAATAAATACAAAGAAGGTGTTAGTGACTTTGGAAGTAGGTGATGGGTAGAAGGTGGAAGATTTTTCTAGTGCATGTGACAAAACTCCAAAGTTGCTGTGAAGGGATGTTGAAGGTGACTGTGTTGGGAGCTCAGGAAGAAGACCGGGCAGCTGTTGAGAGGCCCCCATATTCTAAGAGAAAACAGGGATTGTCATGAACACAATGGGGGTTGAAATGTGGTTCTAAGAAGCCATCCTGTGAGGCCTCAGATGGAATGGGGAACATGTTATGAGTCCCTGGAGGAATGGTGATCCCTGTTATAAAGGGTCGAAGGGCTTGGCTGCACTGGTTTCCCATGTTATGTGGAAGGTAGAACTTGTGAGCAATGGAGCTGGATATTCAGCTGAGGTTTCTAAGAAAGTGTAGGAGTGCCTTGTTTCCTCCTGGCTGCTGGTAGTGAAATGTGAGGGGAGACGGTGGATCGAGGATGGCAGTATTGATCAGATGCTAATCAGAATTTGGAGATTAGAAAAGCTGTCAGCCTGTCCATACAGCCAAAAGCTAGAAAGCTTGTTGTGAAGAGGGCACAGAGGTGTTGCTGAGAAACCCCTTGATAAGTGAAATCATGGCATGTCTCCAGGCTTTAATCAGCTGTCCCATCATAAACCAGGAGTAGAGATAAGTTATAGCAGCAGATACACTGTTTCCTTACAGCCTCATCCTTCCGACCCCCCCCACACACACACACACCAACCCCTGACCTAACAAGGTCACGAGGGAGTGGCTCAAAAAAGTGAGACCCGGTAAAACGGTATCAGTAAAGCTTCCTCAAGAGAGTGTCCCGAAACACTGGGACCCGGCGGAATGGAGTCGGTTATCTCCCTTAGTTCATGGCCGCAGCAACAGCTGCACCATCCTGGGGGCTGTGTGTGTGGGAGTACGAAGGCACAGCACGTGTTGGAGCAAAATGGGGCTGGTTGATAGAAACTGGCCTTAGGGCACTTATCACACAGACTAAAAAAGTTTCTTCACTCCTTTGAAGTTTCTTAATAAAACCTATGCATTAGCTCGATTCGGGGCTCAGTTCCAGACAGAGAACTGCCGTCCCCTGGCCTCGCCTGAATTCCATCCTTGTCTCTTGTGTTTCTTTAACCCTTCGCTGCCTATCTGAGTCCCCACTGCCCAGGCTGCACGGGACGCGGCACACTGTCGCTTAAAATATATGGGATTGAAAAGGTGGGGTAGAAAGAAAGAAGCTTTATTTGGAATTTACTGAACAGGATCAGAGCTCAGATTGGTTGTGAAGATTTAATATCATTTTGAAAAAGGAAAGAATGACCTTGAAGGAAATTTATGGAAAATTATGAAATGTTCTTCAGAGTAACAAGGAAGCCACTTCTGTGGGAAGCTCACATGCTCCTTAGTCTATCCGACCAGGAATCCTGGAGAGAAATCCAAACACACGGGGTTCTCTAAACGGGAAATCTCATCACCTCTGATCACACCCACCTGCATCAACCCCTCTGAATGGACGTCTTCCTGAGTATGATGAGACTTTATAGCAAAGACCTTTATGTGGGTCTAAAGCTAAAGTCACCAGCAGGCTGACTGTGCCATGTAAGGGCCCCATGCAAAATCAGTGTGAGGGAACCTTGTTAAAGTTTAAGAATTTAGTGACACTTAGAGCACAGCATTCTCTCAGTAATGTACAATTCCTTTTTTTTAGTTCTTTTCAGTTGAATGGCTTTAAAATGACTCCTACATCTTTAGCCTCATTCTGCAACAAGAAAGTGTCTCTTCTTGTGATACCAAGTTGGGCCCCTCCCACCAGGTGCCGTGGTGCAGGTCTGTGGAAGTGACCGGTCCCCTAGTTGTCACGCTAAGCACACAGGCTGCTTGATGCAGGCACATTATCACAATTCCTTTCCTTTCATCAGACTTTGGGATAAAAGACTGACATCTAAGGTCATTTTTTTGCTCTAAGAGCAAAATAAATATGAAGACAGATGATGAGAAAACCTTTCTGCATTTCCAATAATTTTTAAATGCAAAAAGTCAAGGAAAGCTGCTTGGTTTGATATACGTGAATTTTTTAAGCTTGCTCTTTAATTCTACGATCAAATTTATTGAAACTATTAGAGGTTGGGAGTGAATAAAGTGAGAATGAATATTTTAAATGTCTGTACTGAGAGTAATACGCAATTATTCTCTATTGTTTGTAAAACTTCTTTATACATTCAGCTCATATGTCAGTTCTATATTTTTAATTTCATGTCCTAAACAATATTCCTGTTGTGAGTTCTGTCTGAGTCCTACTTCATGTCTTTCCCAGAACTTTAGATCAGAAATATCTGACTCTACACGTGGGCTGGTCACTGAGACATGAGGAGTGACCAGCACACCCACTCTTTTCCATGTCTTACGTCTCACTATCACCACCCATGAGGTGTCCACCACGGTGCTCTGTACAGGAGGTTCCATCAGGATGTCCTGTGTCATAAGGCTTCTGCATTGTTAGAGAGTCACAGGGGTCAGAAGCCAGCTGTGCCCCCACCTGACCCTGGCCTCTCCTGCAATAGTGCCTGTGTCACTGCGAGTCATGTGTTTCCATGTCATGTGGGCTCAGCAGGTCCCCCTTCAGACCCCGTGTGTGTAACCTGCCCTGGGGTGTCCAGAATGGACACACATGTTACATGAATTAGGAGATGACATGGGCACAGGTCAATTTACTAGACCTCCCTTCTTTGATGGGTACTGTGCGGGAGCTGGGAGTGTGAGCAGAGCTCCAGCCCCATGGAGCCCAGGGTCTAGGATGGATTTAGTGAGAATTAGGACAGTAGGTGAAGTTGGGTGGCTTTCAACCTCCATCCAAGTAAATGAGGAATGAGAGGTTAATGTGTTATTAGGAGGACAGAGACTGTTGGAATGAAGGTCCTGGGGGCCACGTGTGCCTGTGGGAAGGAAGGGCCATGTGGGGACCCCGTGGGCATGTGGGGGGCAGAGAGCCTGAGCTCAGCACACAGGGGCCTAGACTGTGCTGGGGTCTCTCTGTGGAAAGTGTTTCCCAGCGACAGGGAGACAAGAGAACTCAGGGTGGTCAATTTATCAAGAAATAAATAAAGGACACACAGGTCCTTGGTGAAGTAGTGGTCCCCAGTCAGTGTGATATGTCATCTGCACACAGACAAAGTCCCGTCTTCACCTGTTGTCTGCAGTGAGATGACGAGAAACGGAGCCACAAAAATGAAGCAAGTGTTGTCCCTGAGAGCAGCTGAGAGCTTTCAGAGGAAATCCCTGCTCCCAACAAAGGGCCCCTTCCCCACCTAGGTCCCCACGTGCTCTTGGGGCTGGTTCCTGTGCTCAGTGTATCCTGAGCGCCCCCTGGTGTCCCGAGCAGCCCTGCAGCCCAGCCCCCCCCCCTCCCGCGGTCCCCTGCAGGGAGGTTTGTGTCTGGGCTCACACTGACTTCCCCTCACTGTGCTTCTGGCACAGTAATACACGGCTGTGTCCTCGGCTCTCAGGCTGCTCATTTGCAGATACAGCGTGTTCTTGGCATTGTCTCTGGAGATGGTGAATCGGCCCTTCACGGAATCGGCATAGTTTATATTCTTACCAGTTTGACTGATGAATGAGACCCACTCGAGCCCCTTCCCTGGAGCCTGGCGGACCCAGTTCATGCTGTAGTTACTGAAGGTGAATCCAGAGGCTGCACAGGAGAGTCGCAGAGACCCCCCAGGCTGCACCAAGCCTCCCCCAGACTCCACCAGCTGCACCTCACACTGGATACCTGCAAACACAGAGAGGTATTGGTCAGAAACTGTCACACATCCACTGTTTCTCTTACTCATGTTCTCTCACATACTCAGAGTCTCCTGTTCTCCATCAATTACCTCTTAACATAGCCACAAGGAAAACCCAGCTGAGCCCAAAGTCCATGGTGCGTTGTCTGTGCTCAGTCCTGATCACAGAATGGGGACACCTGGGGATCCCGGGCTGGGGCTCCTGTCCCTGAGCTGCAGGGTCAGGGCTGGGCTGGTTTTCATCAGCAGAGGGGCCCCTATTTGCATGTCCTCCTTCTATATAGGGAGCTCCGGGGTTGGACACCTACAGAGAGGGCAGGGCCTCAGTGCAAGCATGCGTATCCTGGTTAGTTTGGTGGCCACGTGAGAGTTCAGGAAACATGACTCCTTATATGTGATGGAGCTGGAGTGAAAGCTCAGCACCCTTTACCTCATTTTATTTCCATGTCAGCACCCAGAACAAGTGACCGAGGTGTCAACCCCACCTCCATTTTGCAGAGGTAAAGCTGCACACGGCATCCCAGAGGAGCCGTGTTTTGTGTCCAAGAGCACATATCAGCTAAGAGGGAGCCCGGTACTCTCCCCATGGACCCCACTGCTCCCTCCCCCCACTCCAGGGCCAGGATGAACCTGCCAGGTGAGGTTCCAGAACCTCTTTCCAGTAATGAGAACATGTGTGATTCTCTGCATGATAGTATTTACCTAAGACTGTAGTAAATCAAGGTTCATGCATATGTATTTTCATATATGTGACATTTTGCATGCTATTGTCTGTCTGTCTGTCTGTAACTCTTTTCTTACCAATTGTCCATTTGTTTCTTTGTAGTAGCTTTAATGATGCATATTTGACCATAGTAAACGGCACAGGTCAGCAGGATGCAGGTATCACCTGAATCTGTAGTCATTGTATTGGCCCTGGAAGCAAGGAGCACACGCAGGAACAGCCCCACCCACTGTCCTAACTGGGTCCTTCCCAGTGTCCCACATGAGGACCTGTGGTGATGCCCAGCTCAGGTGGGCTCCTCGTGCAGGTGACTAACAGGCACGGAAAGAGCCACCATGGCAGGGACAAGGGACCCTGTCCATAGTGTGGGGCTGTGATTTCACAGAGGAGGAAGGAACATGTTTAACTCTTAGTGAACCCACCACGGTATATTTGAACTGCTCAATTTTGACGACATGTGGACAAGTGCTGATGTCAATATATAACTGAGTGAATGATAACTAAATCTACCCATGTGTGAACTTAGCAGTGGGAAGATGTAAATGTATATCGTCAGCCCCACTGTATTTAGTGAAATGTCCATATGCATGTTCCTCAAAACAGATAATTAAAATAATACCTTAATTCTCCTCTGACACCCACTGACTGACAATCCACCAGAATCTCCAATCTGTCAATATTATAAATTAGATCCCTAATTGTATTTCAAAGTCGATGTCAGTTCTGTACACCTGTATGGCTGTCCTCACCAGTCTGCAGCATCTCCCCACAGCATGTCACTGCCCTGCGGAAACCTTCCATCACCTTCAGGCCCAGACCTCAGTGTTCGCCTTCCTGAGCCTGCAGATGCTGAGCTCTGCGGGCAGCTGGGCAGCAGTGAGGGGCGGGTGTTCTCTTCTTCCTGGGGAGATGGCCATGGGATCTGGGGACACATATACCCCTGGGGAAGGGACCCCTGGCTGCACGTCCTGTAAGAGTGCAATCGCTGTTCACGCTGATGGTGGTGCCCTCGCCCTGGGTACCTCTGGCTTCCTGACCTTCAAGGAGACCACAGAGATGGAAGTGTTGAGAAGATGCTTTTCTATCCTGGGACTCGGAGATCCTGAGACATTAGAGAGAGAATCATGGAGCTGATGGAGAGGCTGTGGGTTTCAGTAACCATAGGGCCATTTATATTGGGTCTCTGCCTAGGCAGCCCTGAAGGAGTTTTAAGATGTTAATATAGTAGAATAATTGGTGAAATAAATTAAATTTGGAATACCCGATATTAGCAGGAATGCTGTTATTTAAGGTTGATTATTTATCTATGAAATAGAAGCCACTGTACTCCCAAACTTATACTTATTAGCCTGATCATAGGAGATGAAGGCATCACAGTGCCTGGCCCTTAGCAAGTGTGCACATTACCATGATGACAGTGTGTTCTAAACAGGAAAGTGCATGACGGGGAATACAGTCAACAGTATTGTAAAGACTCTAGGTAGTGTCAGATGGGTCACCTTATTGGGGTTCACTTCATAAATTATATAAATGTCTAACCACTATGCTGTACACCTCAAAGTAGTACAAGGCTAACAATTAAGGTTATGAACTTGTTGCAATGATGTGGCTAATTTATTTTTATATCAGAGAGATTATTCACTATGAATTTGTACTAGCTGGGCAAAGCAGTTCACCAAGTTTACTATTTGAAAGTGCTGAAAAGGCTTCCTGAAAAAGTTAGACGACCTGCACCTTTCACCATCTATTCATGTCTCTTGCATCACAACAATGCAGCAGCTCACACAGCACTGTCTGTGAGGGAGTTTTTGGCCAATAAACACACAACTGTATTGAGACAACCTCCCTGCCTACCTGATCTGGGCACCAATGGCTTCTTTCTTTACCCAAAGATAAAGAAAATATTGAAAGGAAGACATTTTCATGACATTCATGACATCAAGGGTAATACGACGACAGCTCTGATTGCCATTCCAGAAAAAGAGTTCCAAAATTGCTTCGAAGGGCGGACTAGGCGCTGACTTCGGCGCATAGCTTCCCAAGGGGAGGACTTCGAAGGTGACCGTAGTGATATTCAGCAATGAGGTATGTAGCACTCTTTCTAGAATGAGTTCATGATCTTAACTGTCAGACCTCGTATGTCAAAATTTGTTGTTATTTAGGTTATGGAAATTTTGTTATTGAAAATATGCTGTCAGTCTCTAATATGGAAAAGCAGAGAAGAAATGAAATCATTAATATTATAAACAGAATCATATTTCCTTATCCATTGACAGGAAACGAATGAACAATTGAAATTACCTCCAATTATTAGAATTTATTAATCCAACATTATGTAAAAATGTTCACTTTCACCAACGCAGTCTCATTTTCCAATATTGATTTGAGCCTATGTGGACATGTGACCTAGTCTAGTCAGGGGGCAGAAAACAGGGTGTGTGGGGGCTTCCTCTGTTACCATGAATCATGTGCGTCTAGGACATGTGGGCTCAGCAGAGCCACCTTCAGAACCAGTGAGTGTAACCTGCCCTGGGGTGTCCACAGATGGGCAGACATGTGAGATGAATTAGGAGATGACGTGGGGGCACGTGAATGCCCACATATTTACTGGATCTCCCTTCTGTGACGGGTACTGTGGGGGGAGCTGGGAGTGTGAGCAGAGCTCCAGCCCCACGTAGCTCAGGCTCTAGGATGGATTTAGTGACAAATAGGACAGTAGGTGACAGAAGGTGATGTTGGGTGGGTTTCAACCTCCACGCAAGTAAATGAGGAATGAGAGGTTAATGTGATGTAGGGAGGTCAGGGATCATGGGGGTGGAGGTCCTGGGGACTGAGCATAATCCCGTGGGGCCACGTGTGCCTGTGGGAAGGAAGGGCCATGTGGGGACCCCGTGGGCATGTGGGGGGCAGAGAGCCTGAGCTCCACACACAGGGGCCTGGACTGTGCTGGGGTCTCTCTTTATGAGAAATGTTTCACAACTGCATGGAAGACAAGAGCCCTCATAATGGCCTCTTTATCAAGAAATAAAAGAACACATACAGGTTGCTGGTGAAAAAAAGGGCTCTAGTGACTGGTGACAGTCAGTGTGAACATGGTAACTCTGTTTGCTGGCTGCTGAGAATAGGAGAAATTAGAGTCACAAAGAAGATTCAAGGCTTGTCCCAGGGGGCGGCTGAGAAATTTTACAGGAAATATCTGCTCCCAACAGGAAATCCCTTCCCCACCCAGGATCTCAACTGCCCCTGCTCCTGGTGCTGGTCCCTGTGCTCAGAGTGTCATCAGCGTCCCCTGAAGTCCTGACCGCCCTCTGCAGCCCAGCCCTGCCCCCCCATCCCCTCAGGGAAATTGACCCCTCTGAACGGACGTCTTCCTGAATATGATGAGGCTTCACAGCAAAGACCTTTACCTGGGTCTAAAGGTAAAGTCACCAGCAGACCAAAGCTGTCATATCAGGGCCCTGTGCAAAATCAGTGTGAGGGAACATTAAAGTTTAAGAATTTAGTGACCCTGAGAGCACAGCATTCTCTCAGTAATGCACAAATCCTGTTTTTCAGTTCTCTTCAGTTGAATGTCTTTAAAGTGACCCCCACATCTTTAGCCTCATTCTGTAACAAGAAAGTGTCTCTTCTTCTTGTGATACCAAGTTGGGCTCCTCCCACCAGGTGTCCTGGTGCAGGACTGTGGAAGTGACCTGTCCCCTAGTGGTCACGCTGAGCCACAAGGCTGCATGAGGCAGGGACATTGTCACGATTCCTTTCCTTCCATCAAAGATTTTGAGATGAAAGCCTGATGTTTAAGGTCAGTGTTTTGCTCTAGAAAAGAATAGGAAAAGAAGACTCATGGTGAGAACACCTTGCAGCACTTACACCCCTTTCTAGTCGCAAAAATGAGATATATTCTGCTTGACTCAATAGTGCCATTGTTTGGTGGTTAGCTATTTGAGGGTTCAGCCAAATGGATGCTTTAGAGAAAGTGAGTAAATATTCAATCAAGTCGGAAAACAATATATTAAATGTTTGTACTCAGAATAATACTCAGTTATCCTTTATTTTTTATCTAGCTTCTTAAGTACACCCAACTCATGTGCCTTTCTATCTCTTAAATTTATCTTCTTAACATACCTCCAGTTTTGGGACCCCTCTCAGTCCTGCTTCATGTCTTTCCCAGAACTTTAGCTCACAAATGTCTGACTCTACATATGGGATGGTCACTGAGACATGAGGAGTCACCAGCATCCCACTTCGTTCCCTGTCTTTGTGTCATCACAGCCACCCATGGTGAGTCCACCATGGTGCTCTGTTCAGGAGGTTCCATCAGGATGACCTGTGTCATAAGGCTTCTGCATTGTTAGAGAGTCACAGGGGTCAGCAGCCAGCTGTGCCCCCACCTAAAACAGGCCTGTCCTACAACA